GGCGTTGGCCAAGAGAAAACCGCAAGACAATTTTCAGTTGGCAACGTGCAGAAGGGGGGGGCTTGGAGCGGAAAAATTGAAATGATAATTGCACTTGCCCCACCCACCCCAAAACAAAAAAAAAAATCAACCCACGCCTTGCTGCTCCACATTATGAGCGATGAAAGATAAATGTTAGCTCAGCTTTTTGGATTTTCGGCTTTCGGTTTTCCGCGATTTGTTCGATTCGGGTTGTTAACATAAAATCGCAATTAGTTGGCATTTTGTGTGTGTGTGTGTGGGGCAACGGCAGCTGCTTTATATGTATCTTGTTCTGTTTTATTAATAATCTCTTGTTACAAAATTATGCAAAACAATTTATCACAAATTTGTTTCTGGGGGGCTGTTTACCATTGTGTTTTATTTTGGTGGCCTAGGCGCAAGGCGTGGTTTGGTACACAAATTTGCATTTACATTCTTTGGGCTTTTCTTAATCTTTTTGGTTTTAGCATAAAATACACGAAAGAATTTGGAGTATTTAAAAAAGGTTTTCGGCATTTTCATAGCTTACTTTTTATTACAAATGAAGTGCATTCTATTAAATCTATTAAAGATAAGCACTTCTTTATTTTCATGTTTCAATTAATAATATAATCAAACATTTAAATACAAAAGCGGAATAAATAACTCGTTTAAAATGCATTTTAAATAAAACTTGCATAAATATTTGTCATTGTGCTTAATTGATTTGCGAATCCCACATAAATTAGGCACAATTTTATGGCTACTTTAATGGATATTTAAATGAAATTAAACGCCATTTGCTCTTAATTGTTTAAGAATTTAAGCCGCTTGAAAAAACAAAAAAAAAACAATAAATTGTTATTTTCCAGAAATATGGAAAATGAGTAAGTATCAAATTTATTGACATTTGATTTTAATGTTTGCGGCCAAGCCAACAAATTGGTGCTGCAAATGTTGTTGCCGGCGAGCAACATATGTTGCAAGTTGTTGCAGCTGTCAATAGAGGCGGTCACGTCATGTTGCTGTTGTTACCATTGCAGTTGCTGCATTGCTGCGGCAATTGTTGCTGTTGCTTTTGGTGTTGCCGTTGCCGTTGTCTTGTCAAAAATGTGTTGTTGCCGAAGCTGTGGCTGTTGTTAAGTGTTTTGCCTTTGCATATTTCTGGCATGTCTGGCATGTTGTTTAACACCCTGTTATACCCAATCGAAGCCATGTCCATGCAAATTTGCAGAGGGAGAGGGGTTGGCCAACTCAATCAGACTCTTAGCTGACCAACAAATCAGCTTAAGACAACACACTCGCACACACACACATACACACTCGACCCGAGTTCGAAAGTCTCCCTGCAAAGAACCAAAAACGACACAAAAATATTGCATTTTTTTTCGGGTGCCGCAAATATTTGAGCAGAAATTTGCCTGCTAGGGAAAAGTCATTGAAAGTCATTTGCCAACGCTCGGTGATGACGGCCAAGCCCCGCCCCCCACCGCCCCTTTTTGACCTGTCCGCAACGACATTTGTTACACTTTGTTTGCCTTTCGGCTGCTTCTCTATGTCGGCATAAAAAAAAAAAAAAGAAAATAGCTAAATTCTCACTAAACGGGCAAAGGCGCAAAAAAAATTGCACCGGGAATGTGAGGCAGCTGCGAACGATTCTCAAATCGCATCAAATATCAACCGAGCATACGTTAAATGCCTCAAATTGAGTTAAAGTGCCGACGCCCTGTCTGTCCGTCTCTTTTCCGCCCGCTTCCTGTCCCACTCCCACTCACACAGTCGACAGGACAAAAGCCTGTGGCAAAAACACAGGAGTCGAGAAAAAAGGCAAACTACAACTGCAAATGGTGGGTAAAAAAATCACTTCCACACGATGCCCAGGCATCGACTGGAAATAGGAGGGGAGAACGAAATGTTTCTGGTTGAAAAACTATTAAAACGTTATAAATATAACTGTTAAAAAATAATAAAATTATATTTATCAAATATTTATTAGGTCAAACTAAAAAGTATGAAAAATTAATCACGTCATATTTCTATCTTTAATCAGAAAGAAATTATAAGCCAAAACCAATAGATTTATTTATTAAAGTAATAACTGATAAGCTTAAAAAAAATTTTTTTGTTAGATTTCTTATCAGATTAGGTCTGATTAATGGTTCATTATCGTATACTTAATTAGACTAGGCCTTGAAATTTGTATATACATAGTAATAAATAGGTTATATAACCTAAGCATTTCTAAACTTTTCTAAGGTGGACCTAAACTTTATGTCCTGCCCTCGCAACAGTGCACTCCAGCACGCACATGAGGGCATATTTGGCTTGGCTCCATTTCAGGACGCATGGCCAGGATGCAGGACCATCACTTGGCTGTCGGCCCCTCTCCCCAGCCCCCCCAGCCTCCCCTGTCCCCTCTCACTTCCTTCCGACGCCACTGGTTCAATTTTTTTTTGTTTTGCCCCCTCTGGCTTCTTTTTCATTGAATTGACTTTGGCCTGGTTGCATGTCCTGGCCACTGATCCTGACTCCTCGCTGGCTGAGTGGCTGAGTGCCTGCTGTCATCATTGCCTCGTTCATCGACACTTTGCTTTTTAATCAATTTAACAATTTTTTGTTCTTCCTTGTTTTTTGTTTTTTTTTTGGAGGCGGTGGAGGGGAGTGGGGGGGATGACGATTTCCAAGGCGCCTGCGGATTCGTACGATATGCGATATATATATGCAAAAGTAATTGGCAGTTCGGCTGGGGGTCCTTTGGATGGATCCTTCAAAGCCTCCTTGCTCGAGATCTGCCCACCGCCCTCTAAACTGTCTCTTTTTCTTCGGTCTGTGTGCATTTGCTAATTAGTTTGCCCAGGCATCAGGACATGTGTCCTGTGTGCTGTCCTTTCCTCCTCCGCCGCCTACTTGAAATGAAATTCTTTCTGTTTTTCCTGCCTGTTTTCCTTATCCTTTTTTTTTTTTTTGGTTTTTTTTTTCGAATGTGTCTAAAAAGGAAATGAACTCATCAGTTTGTTTGTTTGTTTGTCTTTTCTTCATTCTTCTGCCATCCATGCCTAATGAAGTTGATTTGCCAGTAAACAGAGCAAGGACTCGTCCGAATGTCCTTTGCATTGAACTGGAAACGAGTTAATCGAGTAGCTTTTCCTTCATTTTTTACTTTTTGGGAATTTAGTCATTTGAATGGTCCTGCCAGATAATAGATTTAGATTTTGCTCATCGACTCGAAAAGCATAAAAACTAATTAAGATTGATGAGCTTTGGTTTGCATTTTGTTGATCAGCATTTTGTTTAATTTAAAAAAAATGGAGTTTTCATTAACTTTTACCTTTTAAACAATTTGTAAGTATAGAACAGCTTGCTTTTATTACATCTAGAAATTGTGAAGTAATTTATGTGTTGTTTAAACGAAATGATAATGAAACATCTATTTAGCCGCAAGTATTTGTCCAACAATTTCTAAATTGAACATTTTCATTAACTAAAGTGTCAATTATTATTTGTTGAGGTAATTTTATCTTGGCATTTCTAAATTCTCTTTTCTCGGTCCTCGGATAATTTTCATTCTCATTTTCATTCTGATCATCGCTTCCCCTTCAGCTAATGAAATTGTTTTCCGAGTGTCCGAGATGCACATTCATAATTGAACAATTTACCAGTTTTCCTGGCCAGATTCGCAAATAACTTTATCAAGCAGGGGCAACCACTTCTTCGTTGGCCGCGAGTCGAGTTTCTGTGGCAAAGCAAAGCAGCAACACCAGCAGTATTGGCCACAGTTAACGCAGTTAAATATTTTCCGCTTAATTTAACAGGAATTTCAATTGACAGACGTGAGCACAAAGTTGTTGCGGCTGTGTTTGTTGCTGTTGCTGGTGTTGCTAGTGTTGCTGGTGTGGTTGTTGCTGTTGCTGTTGCTGCTGCTGCTGCTGCTGCTGGTGTGGTTGTTGTCGTCTGGGCAACGCATGATTTATGCACTCACACTTGGCGAGAGGAGGAAGAGATAGATGACTGCGGTTGCACTGCCGTCAATTTCCATTAGACGCTGACCTTGTCAACATGTTGCCAGCCAGCAGCAATTGCTGTTGCTGTTGCTGTTGCAGTAGCAACATTCGCTGCCGGCGTCGCTGCTTTGGCTCGCGTTAAGTTGACAATTTACTGACAAATGTGTAAATTGCATTTGATCTTGTTGCTGTTGTTGCTATTGCCGCTGCGTTAATTTATGCGCCTGCCATTTCAAGGAAAAAAATACAACAACAAAAAGTAAAAGAGGGACGGAGGCGCAACAATAACCAAGGGGGAGGGGGGTGGCGGCTACAAGCACAAACAGAAAATCGCGGCGACTGCAGCGTCGACCTTGATCGCCGACTTCCGCATTTTACAGTTACAGTTTGCCCGTTCTCGATTTTCCCAGGCGAATATGGAATTTTCTTCGAGTGAGCGGCGAAAAATATTGCAAAAAAAACAATCACTTTAGTTAAATGAAAGTCATCTATTCACTCTATTTGTAATTTGTAATTCAAAGGTTTTAATATTATCATTTAATTAAATAAGGGAAAACTTTATTAAAACTAATGTGCATTAAAGTCATGTTTAAAATACTAGTGATGACTTATGGACTTCTTAAATAATTATTGTATATAAATATTGGTTGGTACTTTAACATCACATTCCAGACTTTGCATACTATGGTTTTTTTTTTAGAAATACACAGATATACATTACAAATATAGGCTTATGTAGGTAAAGCCAGATCTACTTTGAACACCTCTGCATTAACTTTCCATTCAGGTTTGTGGCACAACAGCTCGGCAAATAAATTGACTTATTTAACTAATATATATAACTATAACATTTTAGCTTATCATAAAACATTGTAGAGGAACATATATTTAATTTAAGCGAGTGTTTAACCAAGGAAACAAAAATATGAAATGGTTTTTGCCTCATTGAATTAAATTAAAATACAAGCTTACATGGGAATATATAATCGTTTCACTCACCTTATGGGCTCTGATGGATGTGCCCTCTGAACAAACTAGTGTGACGTCCACCAGGCTCCCGTCTTGTAGTAATTGACTAAACACCCCTAACAGGTTGGATTGGTAATTGTTCCACCTCAAGCAGTAGTGCTCACTGCCCATGTCGGTGACAGCTTACGCTGCTGCAAGAATAAAGAGTGTGCGGAAAAATGTGTATAAATAATCGGTGGGCAAGAGGCATTTTAAAAGTGAGAATGACTCGACGCGACCCGAGAATAATAATTTCTTAATTTGGTGTTCTGTTGCTACTGCGGCTGCTGCTAATTGAAATTGCGTAATCAATCGCACATACTGCAGATACATGCATTCAGATAGGTGTATCTTTGTATCGGTATCTTTAGATGCAATTAATGCCAAAGCGCTTGCACAAATGCCAAACAAATTGCAAAATCTTTTGCACAGGGTTCACAAATGTCACTGCCACCCAACAAAAAGAAAAAAAATAGATATATATATGTATATATGTATATTCGGGGGGTTATCTGCGGGGGTACGAGGCAATTGAGGGCGTGACTAGGCGTGTCACTGCGTTATTTCCATAACAAAACGCTGACTTTGCAGTTTCATCCAAGTATTTTTCGTTATTACATACACAGTTTGCAGGCCACGAACATTTCGGACTAACAATCAATAATTGTTTGCTGACTTTTCATTACAACAAATATTTCGATAAATGATATAGAAGCAAGACTTTAGAACGCTTTACAATAAAAACCGAAATTTAAAATTAAACAATATCTAAATAAAATCGTTACTTCGAACTCATACATATTTTTATCAAAGATATGAATAGAATTAAGTTTACGTTTTTTTTCATGATTATAGCAATTCTTAATTTTCAAAACTTTAAATTAAAATCATAACCTTGGATACATACTTTAAATTTTAGTAAGAGTAGCGCTATTTAGAAACTCCATTCAATATTATCCGACACTTTCAGCCTTTTACTTTAATTGTCAGTTAATTGTGAGGCAGCTTTAACTGTCTTTCCCAGATCGCACCATCAGTTTGCATTAATTTGATGGCTAAATAATTAATCGACCAGCCGCCATTCGGGCAATCAACGAAACGATCTGGAATTAGGCAAGCCCCCACCTCGAAAAGAAATTGCAAACGAACACCAAGCACCCAATGGTAAGAGCAAACATTTCCGGCCAAACAGCGCTGTTTTGATGGCTAACTGTCGCTGCTGTTGTTGTTTTCCCCCTGGATGGTGTTGGAAATCTCGAAGGAAAAAGAAGAAAAAAATAAGGAAAAAAAACGATATAATAATAACGAAGCAATAAACTCTGAATTTATTTCAACAAATAAAACTTTGATTTATTGCACTACGCACCGGGCACACAGCATGCAACGGATCTCGGTCCCAGTGCCCCTGGCAAAACCCCCCCCGCCCCCGTTCCTGCTCCTTTTTTTGTAACCCCCAACCCCTCCCCCCCTCCCCCTGGCGAACCTGCAACTGGAGCCCCTCGAAGCGATTTCGCAGCCCGATAACGATATTATAGAGGAGTTAGAATCTGTATCTCTGAGGCCATTGCGATCGTAAAGCGTAAATTACGCATGCATTTTGTTATTTCCCAGTCCTGCACTCTTCCCCTGATTTTCCCGCCCCGGGAAAATTCGTGCGAACTTTGAGTGGGGCACACAAAAAGACATGGCACTGAGAAAAAAAGTGTGAAAAGTTGTTTGAACACTTAACCGTTAATACTCGATCGCATTTTATGTTTATGCGGATCAAATGAACACGGCTAAGCAACAAAATAAAAAAATTAAACTTTTCTTTTAGTTTCTCTGCATTTATGAAAACCATTTTGTATGAACTGATAGCAAGGTTCTTTTTTTGTACACAAGATAAAAGGTTAAGTTATTTTATTGATTTTAAATATTTTATGTGAGCATGTTTTCAATTGAAATAATTCATAAGTACCCAAATTTTGGTTTATTTACTTTACCTTTTTCCATAATTTTGCCAAGGCTTGTTAAATATTTGTTCAATATTTGTAGAAATAAACGTCAATATTTCTTTACTCATTGTTGTGAGTGTGGTTTGAAAATTGTTTAGTATGACTGTGTTTTCTTAACCTTTTCACAGTATTTCCCATTCAGTTAAAGATCGCACACACAGAAAAGAAAAGCCAAAATGTTGGCCTGGAAATTATGGCCCAAGTGGCAGGCAACACGCAATGGCTAAAGGTCGCCACAACGGCAGCAGTAACTGCAGCAGCAACTGCAATTGCAGCAGCAGCAGCAACATCACCAGCAGCAGCAACAGAGGGAAAACTTCTTGTTTTTCCATTTGCATGCAACGGCAGGTCGACACTTAATTAAGAGAAGTTGCCAGTGGCCATGTTGCTGCTGTGCGGCAATGTTGCTGCTGGCGTGTTGCTGCTGCTGCTGCTGCTGCCCACGCATGATTTTTGAATTAGCGCTGTGTGTAGTAACAACAACTAATATAATTGACAGTTGTTGCTGCTGTTGCTGCAGTTGCTGTTGTCGCTGCTTTGCCTACGTGTTCTGTTGCAGACGTCAATGACTGCCTGCGATGCATGCTAAGTAGGAGAAATATAGACGAAAAAACCAAAGCCCAGAGAAAGCCGCTAAGAAATAGCAAAGAATAAAGAAAAATCTGCTGTGTTGCATGCAATTTGGGTCTGTTAATTGTTGTTGCTGCTGCGATTTATGCCGCTTGCATGCTAATTATGAGAGGGAGGGAGGGGGTGCGGTGGAGTCGGCCAAAATAGGTGGGTGAAAGAGGTGGAAGGGGGGGAGGGGACCGACCATTACTGACAACTAAATCAGTCAAATGATGATGGGCAGCACAGTGAGCTGCGGCTACCTATAGAGTTTTCAGCCAAGTTAATGAGCGGCGTAAGACAGGCAGCCAGGCAACAAAGGGGCTTTTGGCCAACTGATCTCCCACAGTGCACAGTTCTGGTCAAGATGCTGCTGCTGTTGGTGGTTTCTCCTTTTTTTTTTTGGTTCTTAGTTGGTGCTTTTCAATTAAAGACCCCCGCCGCTGCTGGTTCCTAAACTCAGTCAGCATATGTTGCTGCTGTGTCGGCTAATGTTGCTACTGTTGTTGCTGCTGCTGTTGCTACTGTTGTTGCTGCTGCTGCCGTCGCTGGCCTAAAACTCATTAATATTGAAATTTGTTCGTGTGCATGAGTTATTAGCAATTTTCTAATTAAGGCTCCCTGACGAGCCGCCAACGATTCTTGGCCGCAACCCCCCTCCCCCCTCCCCACACCTCCTCATGCTTGGCCGCTCACCTGAGGCGCCTGTACCCCTACACCTCCACCCCCCTCACCACCCCTCAATGTCACACCCACAAGAAAGCCGACGCTTTGCCTTTCATGATTTCCTTTTCCCCGCTTTTTTTTTTTCATTAATGTTTTTTTGTTTTTTTTTCCTCAGCTACCGAAGAAATTTGCATTTGATTTATTTATTTATAAACTTAATTGCCGCGTTTTAAAAGTGGGCGGGGTTGGCTGGCTCGATAGAGTGTGAGCTGCGAGTTAATGTCGAGAAGGATTACCAAATCACCCAGATAAGAAATGGAGAATTGATTGTGGGAGAAAACATTAATTCTAGTAAAATACCTCTATTAATAGAATTTGTGGAAATTGCATTCATTCTTTTAGTCCATATAAATTTATCTATAAATAAAGTTGGTCAATAATGATTTTAATACGAATGTCTTTCATCAAGTTGAACATATAGTCAAATGTTTCCCAATTTTTTGGCATGCCATTTTATTGCAGAGCCTTGTAGCCCAATTTCAGATGGCAATCAAAGTCAAAGCCTGGTCACTGGTCACAAGATCAGACAATGATCAATGATGATCTCTCCGCTCCACCCGATCCACTCGATTCACTCGATCCACCCAGGCAAAAGTCCAGGTTCAGAAGCCCACGCACACGCCACCACAGCCCACAAATGCTGGATGTTGCAGTTACCGTTGAATGTTGCTAGTTGCTAGTTGCCAGTTGCTGGTTGCCAGTTGCCAGTTGCTGTTGCATCCTTGGAGTGCTCTTCCAGTTCTGGCCCACTGGCTCACAGCTGCAACTGCAACTGGGAAACCTTTTGTGGTCCAGGCCAACAGACAACACACTTGACTGATGAAGGCAGAGCAAAGTCGCCGGTCTGGCCACTTGTTTTCCCGAGATAGAATGGGCTAGTATGGAATGGTATAGGATGGGATAGTATACGATAGGATGGTATAGTATAGGATGGGATGGGTGAACTGCGTGTGAGTACGCCTACGTGCGATGGCGGCACATTTTAAATCAAAAAGAAGGGCGCACGATGCAGTTCAGTTGAGTTGCAGTTGAGTTTCAGTTATGCCGCGCCTCGTTTTTCTCTCTGCTCGATTATTAATTGCGATATGAGGGGGAGGCGGAGGGGAACGGGGGGGTGACAGTCACTATGCACAGGGAAAAATATTTAACTTTCAAGAGAAATACTCTTTTTTAAATAAATTTAATATTAAACAACTCTCATATTTGATTAATAAAAACATTTTTCATTTTAGGAATCAATCGATGATTTCCATTTTAAAAAAACTTCTTAAAAATCCTTGAAAACTTATTTAAAAACGTTTGTAGAGTTAAAAAAAAAAAATAATTTTTGTAAGATACAAAATTCAATTCCCCTTGAAGAGTATAGGTTTCCATATCACTTGACAAATTGATTTTCCAGGTCCTCAAGAGCCACATTTTCTCTCAGTGCAGGGGTGTTTGAGCTGCAAAACAGTTGCAATTTTGCTGTTGTTCGCGTTGTTTGAACATTGCCGACACCGTTTGCGATTATCATAATGCTGCCTGCGCACAGCTCATGTTGCTGTTGCTCTTGCAGTTGCAGTTGCTGTTGCTGTTGCTGTTGCTGTTGTCGATGTGAATGATGATTATTTTGATAAGTTGCGCAACATGTTGCTGCCGTGCTGCGACCGCTGCTGCCTTGGTTTCCTTTCGACTTCAGATGGTCATCTCTTCAATGGCATCTTAATTGTTCCGCTGGCCGACCGGCAACATTGTTGCCAAGGTGTTGTTGCCGTCTCAAATTGCCGCTTGTCACTGTGCGGAAGTTGCAGCAGCAGCGGCAGCATCAACAGCAACAGCAGCAA